TTTCCTTTTGTAAAGCACAAGTGTCCGATCACTTTTGTGAGACACTGTATGTATTGCTTGTTATTATTATGTAATGTAGGTTTCTTTTAAAGAAATAATATTGTGATAGTTACCAGTAGTTTATACAGGATTACTATTCTTTTTTTATGTTCTTATTGTAACCGCGTCCTTCAAAATTATATTACTAGAAGAATATTTCCCTCTCAGTTTTCGAATGATAAAACTATTTTAAATAAGGAAAATACGGTATTTATTTACATGTGATTATTTTACCAAAAACATTTATCATCTATATAATGTGCATATTGATTTTTATGGAGTTTTTAAAGTTGTTTTAGGTTTACAAAGCACGTTTAGCAATAAAAAGAAGTAATACATCATGTTTAGAGCATATTGTACATTGCATGAAAAGTCAGGAAACAATGCGAACAACCTGCAGTGAAGAACCGATGTAACTAACACGCGATGTTGTGTGTAAAGCTTCCGGATTTTGCATTCGTTGACCCCTGGCTGATGTCTTACTCTTGTTTTTTGGGTATAAATGAAGTTATTTCACTATATTTTAAAAGTACATAACAAATAGCCACCACAATTTTTATTCCAGAAGAAATCAAAGAGGACGTTGAATGCGTGCAACATATTGTTGCTGTTGTTCCTCGCTTGAACAACAACAACATTGAAATCACGTACAGAGAAGTTATAATATCTTAACTAAATATAATCACAATCCATGCCGATATTTGAAACATCGGATAAATACGTCATATTTCTGTCTCTTGGAAAAATGCAGCAATGCAGTAGGCTCCAATTAATGTGGTAACGGTTAATTTTATCATTCGGATATTGTTATCGAACTGCCGAAGTTCCATCCGTAAAGTACATCGCTTATTGTGATCGGCAATTCATTAGTATTATCAAAGTATTACAGAATATTTTTTAACTGAAACACAGTAGCCAAATAAGACATAAAGTCGCGAAATAAAGTCAAATTAGAACGTAAAAATTCAAAGTACATTTGTAAATTAACAATAAATTATCTTAATTATACTAGGCTACAAAAGAAAATCAAGTGATTCGGATAACTAGAGTTGCAGATATTTAAATAATGGATATTTCAGTCTGATTCGCGTAAATAAAGCAAGATAAACCTACAGGAATAACTGATACTTATATATGTCATGCCTGATAATATTTTGGGAGAGATTTACGAGCCATATATGACAGCTGCGACGCATGCCAGAGTAAAGATCCTTTCCTCATTTCAATATAATGAATATTGAATCTTGTAGGAAGAAAAAGCTAATTTTTCAGAAAAAAATCTTATTAAATTTTAAAACAGAACCAAAAAAATAAATACTGCAGCTCTAAACTATCAAAATTTGAAAACTCTTACTACTCAGTTTTTACACAACTATTAAAATAAAATAAAAAATGAAAACCTTCTAAACAAAATATATAAAATCTTCGAATCCTTCGGTGCCACACCGTAAAATGCAAGTCCTTTATATTATATTAACGTTCTCTTTAAGTCACGATCTTCACAAGTCATGATCTTTACAAGTCACGATCTTTACAGCCAGTAACAGGCCTGACAACAGATATATTATTCTTCGCGGAGAAATGAATAATGAAAAGTAGAAACACACTGTGTAGACGAAACTCGTCAACTTCTGAGTTGTTAACCAACCAACAAGTGTCTTTAACATCGCAGGAGAGTAAAATTGATGATCTTGTTTACTATAGTATCCCTGCTAGCCTGTAATTAGTTCTAAGTTCAGATGTTCAGGCATTTCTTAGGTCCAGTGGATTTTCAGATACCCTATTTGGGACTCGCGGAACTTCAATGTCTCACACTTTCAGTACAAAATTCGATAAATTACACGATGTGTTAGTGAATCAGTATAAAATACAGACCCTTCGTGTTAACTTGTTTCATTCTTCTCTAAGCTGATGTTGCAAGGAATTATTGTATCCCTCGGGTATTGTTGTGGCGAAAGTGGTCTGTCTAGCAAATTGGTACACACGGGATTTGAATTCTAACCAAAGTACAGTTGATTGTTCACATGTTTTGCTTTGAAAAACTCAGTACTAAAGTTTAGTGGACAACATTTCGTCACTCTTCGGTTTATGTTCTAGCGGTCTTCATCTCTTTATTTAAATGGGGGAAAATGTAAGGAATTATCTCATCTCTCCATTGCATGCATTGCTAGTATAAGTTGGTTAGGACGACCAGCTAGCTGGCAGTTGGAGAATCCATTGCTGGAACCCAGCCAGACTACAGTTAATGTTTCAACTTTCTGTTTTGAAAAAAACCTAATAACCTCTAAAATGGTAACCGAACTAAAATATCGTGCAGGATAATTCATCACAGTCGGAATTCGGTCAAACGAATATCTAATACAGAAGGACAAAATCATATGCCGAAACTCGAGCAGGCATATTCTGCTGTGTTAAAGCATGGCGTATCCCTACATCGTAGCAGCTTACCTTCCAATCTTCTTGAAATGATCATATACTGTAATGTTTAGAATATTTATTTTGCCTGAGAGTTCCTGAACTGTGTAACTTGGTTTATCAGCAATAGCGTTTTGTAACTGATCCTTGTTTACAGAGGTTGGTTTTTATCAGCTTCGAGGTTGAAATTTTCGCAGTTAGACTTCTCAAACCACCTGTTCGAACTGTATCATCAGAAACAGCAGTTTGTGCATACAAGGCACAAATTTTAAGTCTGACTATCATTTTTTAATTTTTTAAAATAAAATAGAATAAGATACAAAAATGAGTTCTGCATGCTTAGCACTAAGCTGGAAAAATCGCGTAACAACACATGCTAGAATAACGCAACGCGAGCAAAAAAGACTGCCTTTAAAGATTCACTTTGATCAAGGCCACTACTTATCAACAATTAAAAAAACAATTTGGAGAAAACGCATCGCAATCTGAAACAGACCAGAATTGTTTTTAAGGTATCCTAATATTTATGCGAGATGAGTATTTTCAGTTATGAATCTTTCTCAAAATAAGGTAACGGAAATTTATTGAGCAATTTTTAGCAGTAAAGGTAGAAGAATTTTGTAAACACCAAAATATAGCTTTTTCAATGGTCTCACTAGAACGGAAAAAAACCTATTATTAAGATTTAGTAAATCAAATAAAACAAGTTTAATACTTTCGCATGCAAATATGGTGATATTAAAGAATGAATTTACTAACTTAGATTACTCTTCAGTGTCTGTTGTTATAACAATCTGAACAAATTTTCACCACATTTACTGACTACCACAAAACAAAAGTTGCTTGTTTTTGGCAACTAATGGCTCCATACTAGACAAAGCAACAGTAACAATTGACTTTACAAAAGCCAGTTTTATGAAACTGTTAAATAATAATATTTTCACCCATTTCTTAATGTAATTTATAACGTATAGGATGGAGTATTTTGCTATGGCGGTGATTGCTTGGTGTGGTAGTCGCAACTCTTTTAGACCTTGTTGATATCACGGCGCCATCTATAATGAGGGCTGGGAATCAACTACCCCTTGGAGACTTAGGCACATCTATATTACCGAGCTATTGCAGACGCAACGTTGCCGGTTCCTTAAATCAAGCCCAAGAGCACATGACATAATTCTGGAAATGGAAAACATCTCAGAAGAGAAAACGGAGAAAGGAAAAGTGAGAGGGGTACGAAAAGCAAAAAGGCCAAAGGCATCTGTCAGGTGAACGGAACTTGACAAGATGAAAAATCCTAAAGGATGCATGACAATTCAGTGAAATGACAAATGCAAAACATGGTTCAACATACTATACAACAACAGCAAAAGTTCAATACTGCTAAATAACTACACAATACAACCCAAGCAACAGAAAATAAACACACATCAGTCAGTACAACATTACACGGGCAATTCCAAACAACGTACAGCATAGTCTACATCAGCTAAAATGAAAAAAATTATAGCCATCAATTGAGGAGCAAGAGAAGAAGCAGTGGCCTCATCCCATGAAAGTGTGAACTGCAAGTGGTCTTATGTTAGGCGGTCTTCATTGAGTATTTCGTAGTTGAAGACTTGAGAATAGTTCACAAAGTCGCACTGGACAGCTTTAGAGAAGAATTTCGCATTTGTTCCTTTAATAAATTCTGTGATGGTTTCAAGCTTAAGATCCCTATGAAAAAGTTCGTTTCGGATTAGATAGTCAGCATCAGTGATAATATGAAGAAATTTATTCTGCACTATTCTACTCCTTAGTCTATTCAGCTAGATATATTAATGGAAGATGTCTGAATAGAGGGCATCTGTGAAGGTCGTTGTTCATTGGCTGATGCTGCTGTACCGTGTACAGAACTCGTGAGCATCGATGGTGTAGCTTTATTGCTTAACCGATCGCCTCAGAAACAAGTGTCGCTGACGCGAGCGATTTTAGCGATATCTTTTTTACACGGCGTATGCACTGCTGTACTGTATTTAAATTATTTTGTAAATGTATAAAATGGTGAATTGTTAAAAACATTTTAAAGTAGTTTTACCTGAGGCACTCCGAGTATGTCCATTGTATATTCCACGTCATGCCCAATATCGCAGAGCTCAGGTAATCCCCGAACAAGCACCTGGCCAATAAGGTCATGTCTCGAGAAACGGTCGAAGTCGTAAACCGAAAATTGAATCGTTCTTGACCTTAGCTGTTCGTATGGCACTCCGAAGACGAAAGTCTCATTGAATACTGGGTTGAGGTTTCTCCTGTGAACCTGCGAAAAAAGAACAGAAATTAGAGTCTGGGTGTAACAACATTTAAAATAAACCATTTTGAAATAAGAAATAAATTTCAGATCAATTCTAGACTTTCTTGTTAGTAATTCTGGACACTAAAATACTTACCGAAAATACGTGAAATACCATTTGCATACTTTAATTTATATGTTTATAGATTTATATATCGTTTCACTACTACGCCATTTCTTAAAGATGTATACATTTAATTTTTTTTCGAAGATCAAACATATTCTTCGAGAGTCAATTTCCTTTGTAGCAATTAGATGTTAAACTTTGTGACAAGTAAGGAAGAAACTTAATGCGTAAGGTACCTGAGACCGGTGGATCGAAAGAAAGTTGCTTGGAGGAGAAATGCATGATTACATCTGTTGACTAGATTTGTTTGTTGATGGGAAATATTTCATTCATTTTTTTCCTGATAAGTATACTTTATAAGGTATTTTTCCCGCTTTCTTAGTGGTGTAGTGGTCTGCGCTGGGCGCATATGCCAGAGGTCCGTGGTTCGAATCCCATTTTTCATCACTACTGCTTCAAAAATAACCTAATGACTCTACAACTCGACTGTTGTGTTCTTTCCTCTCATAGTGCTTCTTCTGAGGATCAAAATTAAATGGAACTCCAGATAGCAGAGGTACATTTTTTATATAAGATTAAAACATGTAAAGCAATTGCGATAGCTCCTTAATTATCTAACTGAATTTGTATATTTCCTCTTTCTACTCGTATCATTTACATAATGGTTATGACGTACCTAATTCGGAACTTAAAGTCAAATTGATTCGTCGAACGTAAACGTCAACTTACTAATTAATTAAAATCTTATATAACGCTAAAATGCCGGTGCACTTTAGCCAATCAGCGAATAAAATATCAATTAAAATCAAAACCTTTTTGACAAGAGAGGTTGATTTTTTCCCAGGCTTTCCTCTGAATGCGTCTCACTTTCCCGCTTGCTTGCCTACAACTATCACATAACGGCTCACGTTTGTATATCATCCATTACCTTAAGATGTGCTAAGCTTCCAAAACTTCGAGGTACATATTGTGCATATAATGATGTGTGAATCAGAATGTGCGTCGCAAGAATGATTTTAGAATTAGTAATAAAATGTGTTGACTATACAGCAACGTTTTCGTCCAAATTTCATAATTCTGTCTATGCAATAAACCTCTTCAATTTATTACACACACACACTAATATATATATATATCAGAAAAAATTATGAACTAAAATTTTGCAATAACCCATTTATTCTTCATTTTAGTTTAGTACGTTTCCTTTCTATCGTAAAAATAGTAACTATTTATAATACATCAATCTAAACTGCATTATTTCAAAATTAATCTGCATCATTAGATCTTAAGTACCGCGGCAATGGCAATGAAAAATAAAAACCTTTTGGTCAAATCTTGGATAAAATTTCATTTAAGAATGATGTCCTATGGAAGACTCTATCTCCCACGCTTCTTTCGAAATTGTCGTTTTACGTTCTCCACTTTCGCTTTTGCAATATGCCGCTGTTTACTGTCTTCAAAAAGTATCTTTGCCAAGTGTATAGATACTGATGGTGAAAATTCTACAAGAATAGTACGCTGTAATGTCAATGTTATTTGTGTTAGTCTAATGGAAAATATGTTCGACCATGAATAAAAAGGAAATAGTTGAATTCAGGCACGTTTGCCTGTCTTTGCTTTTTTATGCATCTATTTATTACGCCACCAATTCTTCAAATTTATAAAAACAAGCTTCTTCCAATCTATTATATATATATATTATTTTCATTTTTTTTAGTCTCAATGACTCGTTATAAATGAAACTATTCTATTGAAAAATGCCTTTCCTGCAATAAATAATCGCCCCAATTGTATTTTTAACAATTCGGCTACGTCAAATAGTGGAAAATTACGTTGAGAGTCCCATACAAACCTTTCATTTAAAAGATTTCTTTTCCAGCTATCTTTGATAATGCAAACAGAAAAATTCTCAGAGTTTATGTTGATTGATTAAATAAAGATATATATGCAAAATTGGTTTTAACATTAAATAAAGTTTGAAGAAATTCGCTTCACACACATCGTATTGTTATCCACAAACAGTGTGTCGACGAAGTTGAAACTCGATAGCTTATTTGAAAGTAATTTAAGAACCCACGAAGACCTTTTGTCGATAGCGACAAACAAAATGAGTGAGCTCAATAAAAACTTATAAAAGTGCAGATATAGTAGACCCCGCTTTAGATGATTGCAGTGAATGGTATCACTCTGTTATCGGATTTGCCGAACTTTCGCCCGTTTGTATACAAAAACATGGAAAATACGTCGCTTATTGCGATCAACATATAGGTTAATATGAACAAGTATTATAGAATGAATTTTTTAATATAGTAATCGCCTAATAAAGTATAAATTCTCTCAAAATTGATTATAAGAATTTCCAAGTGACAGAGAAATGTCGCTAAGTAAGATGTAAAATAGCCAAAGAACTTGGTGTAGATTTCATCCAAGCATTTTAAATTAGGGAAAAAAAGCAACCCTAGTTTGACACAGATTTTTAATAACTCTATACATTTTGAGAGCAATCAGGTACAAGCCTTTCTTCTTCAAAAGTAAAATAAATTCTGCAGAATTTGTTTCCTTTCTATTGAAACAAATTGCCTGAAAACAGCTACGAGAAACTAAGACTCCTTTCTGTCTAATTTAAAATTTAGCATCAGCATGTTTTCGTCTTATTAAGAATGCTGTTCGAATAAGATTAAGATCAATCAAATTTAGGAATGGGATTGATTATCATCGATCCAATATATTTCAGAAACTTTATGAACGGTTCATAAACGAACTTTTATGTTAAAGACTTTATGAACAGTTCGTTATGAATAGCTTGCATTCTCCTACTTAAAATCCTGTGAAAATCCCTGTTTATCTGTTTCTAATTATATTTATATTAAATTAGTTATATTTCATTGCTGGTTTGAAGGATATTTTTTCTCATCGTCTAATGGTGTCATTGGGTTAATATTATCAACATAGCCATCGACAAACGTGATCATATTAAGCGGCGCCTGCTGTTCCATTAAAAGTACTGAAAGCAAAGTGGCGAAATTAAATTTTACAACAATACTAGTAGAGCAATAACATTAACAGTACACAGCTTAAAATATACATATCACGTAATTAAATTGAAATTTCGATTAGATATCTTTCTCATTTGTAAGCTTGTCCTGTCTGCCGTGGAAGATATATAAATGGTGCCTAATACTTTAAATATGGTAATGTTTTCCCTGCCTTTGTTTAGCTAATGCGGTGAAAACAAATAATTCTTTAATTAAGTTGCTAACTATGTATAACTTGCAGCTGTTGCTTTGCACTAATATATGTATGTACATATATAACATACTGAAAATAAAAACATTTGCTAATGTGATATGCGTGCAGAAGATATATATTTCAGTACAAGAGTCTAACTTCAATTATTTAAGCATTCGGTGTTATACTATATGAACGCTACTGAATAGTTGCGTTACCAAGATATTTTCTCATTAAAGTTAACAAAGAGATATTAATTACACTTTCAACGACAGAAACAAATGTTTTGTAGCACACATGACAACCAGCACAAAAGGATCTATTTTATTATTAAAGTTTAATATTTTGCGTCTCGTTCAAGTTGAATATTATTTTGCGTTTTGTTTGCAATATTTATAATTAAGAGTATAATTCAAAACAACTTGCATATATAATATAAATAACATAAACATTATTCAGTCCCTATGACATATTCTTAGCCATCGGATGTAGTTTTATTTGAGGTACATTATTTATAGTACAGATTATTTTCTTAGACGTTACACATATATCGTATTTTCCCTGTTTTTTACTAATTTTATGGTCCAAAAATTGGTAGGAAAAAATTATGGGAAAAAAATTTAAAAAAAAAAAAAAAAAATCAAAGCTTTCAGATTTTATATTAAGCGCAAAAGGGCATTTTGCTTCATTTACACATTCATACACGTTGCGAAAGCATTTGGGCTAACGCCCTTTTGGTCTAAAAATATTTAGAAACAGCATATCATTAGAAGTTTCGATAAAGAGTCTCGCGCTGGAGAAAAAATATTTTATTCTGTACAGTGTGCTGTTACTGTTCGCTTTGAAATCGTTGAGTTTCTTAATAAAAAATTCGTTAAAGCTTAAAAAGTATGAAATAGATAATAAAACTAATTCGAGATTCAAGATCCGGTTTCCCACGTGCTCATATTCTGGTGGCTCATATTCTTCTACGTTATTAAAAATTTGATGGCTCTAAGTATCGTTGTTTTTTCATAATGCGAGAAACATACACACATTTATGCAGATTCTTTATCATTTAATTTCTTTAAATATAATACAGCGTAATAATACTTGGCGGCAATAACTTGAAAAGTGATACAATCGTTTACAGTGATTCCACGCAAAATGCCGTTTCCAGACTAATAGCCTTTCTGGGCTAACGTCCCTTTGGGCTAATAATTTAAAATACGAACGACGTGGTTACATAACAAAGGAAAAGACAAGAAGAGTTGTAAGAACATAAAAAATGAAAAGCAGTCGTGGGTATACTACAGATATTTATCACGGTATTATTTCTTTGAAGGAAACACTCGTTCTAATAAGAATACATAGAAATATTAATATTACAGTGTCGAAAAGGATAGCTTATTTTTAATTCCCTCTGTAACTTGAATCCGTTCGTATTGCTATATTTAATATTCCATAGGTCTTAAATCATCCATAAATAGTTAGAGGAGGAGGATGCGAAGCTGACTCAGAGAGATAGTGTCTTCTTCTCTGGGATGGGTTGGTTCTTCTGTTAGGCTGAGGTAAATTCAACAGTTAGAAGAAAAAAGTTTGCCGTGCTTTCGCAGGTAATTTGCGAGGGTTTGTCTTTTCAATAAGACGAAAACAGTTTAAAATTTAGAGCTCTTCCTGTGAAAGTTTGGAG